TCTTTTAAATTGGTCGTTTCCTCTTCCTTATGTTTAATCACAGCCTAAAACTCTGAATTTATTACATAATTACCAAATAAACAACAGATTACAATCCAAGAAAATATATAGATAGCGTGTGTTGTAGTAATTAGTTACTTAGACTGTTTAGTTCAAACATATGTCTATTTTCCTTTTTTATGGATAAAATGGATTAAATTTATGGGTTAAATCTCTTATTCGTTATGTTCTAAGTTGAAAAATGCCGAGACAAAAAGAGACAGAAAGTTACTATATGAACAGACATGATTTTATTCACCACATAACATGCTTTAAGTTTTTTATAAAAGTTGTATGAAAGTCAATTTTATAAGGAAACAGAGGCCATTAATGAGTAGTTATGTTACGATAACGAATTTATGACAGCTAGGAGGGGCTATTTATATACTGAAAAACAAAATGTTTTAGTTCGAAATATCAGCATTTGGTTACAATATACGTATGAATAATTTTTGATTTGAAACAAATTCTACTTAAATACATAAAAGGTGGTGCTTGTTTAAATTTGTCTTATCTAGAGAAGTCGTCACTGTTTTTAAAATATCTGACCAATCATGAAATGGATACATTTTTTATATTCCATGGAGAAATAAAGGGAAGAAGGTAAGCGTCATATCTAAGTTATGACTACATGTAAACTTGTTTCTAAACTCTCTCAGAGAAACTCTCCATGGAGAAATAAAGATTTAACTATTATTTAAAAACAAAAAGAATCCCTTCTACATTTAGCAGCTAATTTAAATAGAGTTTAAATGAGATTTCATAAAGCCGACTATGTCTCTAATGGATGTTGCATTTTGGTCACTCTAATACCCATAATCTAATGGTTTGCAAATAGAGAAGTTCTGAGAGAGTTTAGAAACAAGCTTACATGTAGTCATAACTTAGATATGACGCTTACCTTCTTTATTTTATACTTTATAGTAAGAGATATATAGATACATATACATGCACTCACGTATATATATGTCGGTGTTAGCATTACGGTCATAATTAAGATTTCCTTTTCTTTCAAAGAATAGATGTACGCTTTGATTACTAAAAGGTTTGACTCTACTTTAGGACATTATCTTATGGTAAGTTACCTTATATATGTTGACGATTGCTTCAAACTTTAAAATATAACTTTTATAGGAATTAGTTTATTTTTGATATTTAAAAAAAAAATTCTTGAACTAAACTTGCCATAAAAATTGATCATAATAATCTAGATTTTTCTAATACTGAAGAAATGTGTTATTGAAGCTGATTTTTTTTCACAAACTTAATGACAATCATGGTATTTACATTTTATTTGTAACCATGCACCTAGTATTAACAAATACTTATTTTTAGTAAAATGGAATATAGGAATTTGATAGCAAACTGGAAAAAGTAATGTTACGTTAAAGAATTAAAAAAAAACCTTCTAAACAAAAATTATCTGTATCACTTTTTGTTTTGTTTGTTGGATGTAGATCAAACTGAAAAGTTAAAATAACAATGAACCAGAATAGCAGTCTCTCCATAAAAGTTCGGAACATTTTAATAAGTGTATCATCCATAAATCTGATTTTTGATTTAACTTTCTCCTTATTTCTAAGCACAAAGCTACACATTGGATTATCTATGCTCTGCTTACCACTGGTATCGAAATCAGCTTTTTAGCGTCATAAGACTGCTGACTTACCGCTGAGCCACTGGGTGAATTCTTTGGTGATTGAAATTCTTATGGATATCTCTTGCCATGTTTCTTTTAGCTGGGCAACATTTCCACACAACTTTCAGTCAGTACGTTCAATACGCTATAAAAATCCAGCTTAAAAGAAAATTATTTTCTTTGTTTCCTATACGCTATTGTACTGATTTACACATTAATTTGTTTTACGTAAATTTCATTGTCCAGAAATTATTTTAAACAAATTATTTTTAATCAATACTTTTCGTTGTATTAGGTTTCACCTATCTAATGTTATAGGTCGATTGAACAGTAACTTCTATGTTATGAAAGAGCTACCAAAGCGTTTATTTCGCACAAAGTCATAAAAATACTTACTAGCTACATAAATGTTACTGGAGAATCTTCCAATACGTGAAGAATAGAGATGCTTTTTTTTTAAATTTATAAATACATATTAAGGTTTTGACACTCAAATAAGCAATCAAAACTTCTTTTATTGTTTCAGTTTGATTTGAAAAAACTAAATTGTATAGCTATCTAGCTCTAAGCCTAATACTAACTTGTTTTGACACTAAAATGCAACTAATTGTATATCACAATTTCTGTCAAATAGAGTTTCTATAAAAGCTTTAGACTATTATATATCTTTTTGCGATACCACAGCCAGTTTTAATTTCGAGTACTAATTTCAAGACCTAAATAAATGTACACAGGTTGGCTAAAACTGATCTTTACTAAATCTCTAGCTTGTGACACGGGAGAGCGGCCCGACAGGAGTTTCAACACATTCAGAAATAAACGTTTATAATATTGTTAACATAATTTAATAGACCATTACATGGATTTTTCAATGTAAGAAAAGAAATTTCTTTGAAAAATGAAGTAATTTTCGGTCTAGTACTTTATTTTATAATGACACCGATCAGTGGAAGTCTTGTATTAATTGTTTGTTTGTTTTTGAAATTCGCGCAAAGCTATACGAAGGCTATCTGTGCTAGCCGTCCCTAATTTAGCAGTATAAGACTAGAGGGAAGGCAGCTAGTCATCACCACCCACCGACAACTCTTGGGTTACTCTTTTACCAATGAACAGTGGGATTGACCGTCACATTATAACTCCTCTACAGCTGAAAGGACGAGCATGTTTGGTGTGAGAGATATTCGAACTCGCGACCATCAGAATGCGAGTCGAGTGCCTTAACCACCTGGCCAAGTATTAATTGTCTCTATGGTTAAAAATAAAAACAATATTCACAACGCTAACACAAATTTTATTTCATATAACAGCCAAAATACACAGTAATCCTTAGATAACAACAAGAACCTATTAAATACAAATAGTGTTCATATAGTTTAATGTTGAGCCATTTCACACACAACTATTCTTTTACGATACGCCTGTGTAATATTCAAACATTAAGTATCATGATGAAAACTATCTGTTTATAATTCAACATTTTCCACTTATATTATGGAATTAATACCGACTTAGTTTAAGTTCAAATAAAAACATTATATTAGAGAAATTCTCGTTTCAAGCAATACTTATTAGTCTAAAGTAGTTTAAGAACTGTAATATCCAGAGGTAAATAGTTTAAAAAACACATATAAAACATCAAAGAATGATTAGCAGAAGATATGTTTTTAAAAAATCTTACAGAATGGTATGATTAATATTATTATTTAAGTTATAGATCGAATTATTCATGAACAAGGATGAACAACAGAAAATTGATAACACCCTATGTCTTCCTGGGCCTAGGGCGTCGACATTATAGATGGAGTTAAAATATAAGGGGTGAGCTGCCGCAAGGGCTTTACACGTTACCTACATTTAAACACAAAAATAACTTGTATGCAAACAAGTTGACATATTGAAGTCACATACACAGGGATTACATCTTATCAAACTGTAAGGTAACCTCAAACGACTCTGACAAGTAACTTACCTCTGACTAAATCACTAGTTTAACTGTACACTAAAACGTATCAAACGTCTAACAAATATTTCTTGATATTCTGACTGAGTTATATTTCTTAACTAGAAATATATTGATGTACTTTGTATGATGATGTAAGCTATTCTTTGTCAGGTAGTCGGCATATTTTTACAGTTGGAGCACGATATTTTTTTGAGAATAATCAATGTGATGTAACATCGCAATAATACTGTTAGTGACTATAAGCACAGGGCCATAACTGGACTGATACGAACGTTCGGAACAAAGCGTGTATAATAGAAATTCAATGACACAATGCGTTATACCCTGTCAGTCTAAAAATCTCTAATAATGTGTGTTAACATCTCTTTGACAATGTCCTAGAGTGATCGGAGTATATTTGAAGTTGTATTATACAATCTTCTTATTGGAAATCTCCATTACGGGAGTAAAGAGTGAAATACTTAAAATTATTCAAATTAACAAGAAAATGTTATTATACATAGCGTATTTGAATATGAGGTGAATTTTTGAATATAGTTTATATAAGTATAATATATTTGTGTGAATATAAAAATATCAGGATATATACGAGCTGTCTTTAAAAGGATAAAAATAAAAATAGATTTATGTAAATTATAAGTAACGCTAAATAAAATACAAACCGTATAACGTCCATGGTGCCAAAGCATCGCACATTGTAACCTAGTATGTGTGGAGAAACGTACCAAAAATATTAGGTTTAATTATTAAATGGATAAATGTAAACTTTAGCTGAAAAAGGTTTTTAATGACACCTCGACGACCCTTTATCCTCGACTAATAAGATATAATATTGATGAAAAGCCCGCGTCTGCTGAAGCCAACAGTAAAGTGGACTTGACCACTTGCTGAGATCCTCTGTTTTGCTAGTACATTGTTAAAAATGTAAACAATCTTCCTATACATACTTCCTTGTTTTTATAATTTGTTTTGAAGTCCATTTAAGCGTGTTTAGAATTTCATTCAGACTGTAGTATTTCATTTCTATCAGCTACTTGATAAAATCGCTTAAGGTTAAGCACCTACTGTATATTAAATAGTTAGTCCCAAGCGTGTTTCTTCCTCACCAAAGAGTGTTCTCAAAAACCTCAATAGTAACCATACAAAAATACAAAGACGTGTCTGTATTAGCTACATTGAATACAAAATACGGAAAATATTAAGAGTAAAACAGACATTCATACATATACACTTTTGTTTTATCTCTTGAGTTTAAATATCGAAACTTGTTCAATATCAGACTACTAGATTCATATACGTATACTTACAATTGTATATTTCACCATATATATATGTATATATATACATCAAAGAAAACATGGCACATTTATCAAAACTAAACAATTCAAAATCACCTACTGTAGCAGTTTACCCCTTCTTAACAATTTTGGGTAAGTTATTTAAGTACTCAACCATGTAGTTTCTTCTTTTTTTTATTACTGAATTAATGTATAAGCATGATTATTTTTCGATAACATTAACAACTATTTCAAAAACAAAACGCTTGTTCTCATTCAAAGTACACAGAGAGAGACTGGATAATCTTTAGTTATTTTTCCTGCGTAAAAAAGATTAGTTACACATGATAAAGCTCTAAGTAAGTTCTTCCTTTAGTTAAAGTTAAAGACATATTAAGCTCTACTGAATGGCATTCTCTATCATTAATCTCTCTAAATTGATCGTAACTGATGCTGCTTTTAACCGGAGTCTTAAGTTGATCAAATAGTTTTCTCATTCAATGCGAACTGTTATTTTTCGTATCATGACAACAAGTACATACTGACATATACGATTTTAGACGACATCTATCCTAGCTCTTGAAAGCAAGCATTTATTGAACCAGGCAGATCGAGATTACTATTGTTTACATTCTTCCTTTGAGGTCAAACAAAAAGAGGAAAAATACGAGTAACCCTTTAATAAACACTAATTTTTTTCCTCGGTCTATTTTGATTACAATTATCTTCTTCACCAATATCCAAAATCAGTTATGTTATTTAAGCAACAGCCTATTAAAGTGTTTTAAAAAGTGCTGTGTTTAGTACACGATTTTTATTAAATAAATGATTTGAAAACTTTCAAATCATTGTCAAACTTTATTTTAAAGTATACTTTGATGATATAAGAAGTGGTGGCTGGCTTTTCAATATTCTCAAAACCAATCATATTTTGCAGCTACAGCGTGGAGTTTTCAGACAGCTGAGTACGCACAGTGATTCAGCATTCCATCTTGTTTGGTCAAGCATATGGTATGCTTTCCGCTTTTTAATGGAATGGATTGTTCTTCGCTTTCCTTTTCAGTGGCTTGTTTGTCTCTAGACACATAATACCAATTCCGGTGAAGAAAGGGAAAATATTTCATGCATCTTTGATTTTTTCTTTTTTCATTGCCATTTATTGTGTCGTTACTGCGTGCAGCATTATTAATCCGCTTTAATGATGCTTGGTATCCAAGACTACGTTGGGCCTGTCGAGAATTTTCTCGACTGCAGCGACCTCCGGTATTACAGTTAATTCCTTCTTGAATGCTATTCGTACCCCGTGTAGATCTGCGTGCGCTAACGTTTCTGGAGACGCTAGGACTGTCGTCAACATTGGTGTAGCTGGTAGTCTGAAAGTCCAAATGGAGCCGGACTAGCTTGGTCTTAAGACAGGGACAAAATATCTGCAAAAAAGTTCGCCGATATTTCTGGCTGAGAAGACAATATAAGACAAAGTTCCCAGCGGCATTAATAGCCATTAAAAAGTTAAAGATGTTGCCTAGGCCAAGAGTGATAGCGTTTTGAGGGTGAAATGTGGTATACACCAGAAGAACAGCAGTTGGTAGCTGACAGATCATGAATAAGATCACAACAGCAATCAGCATGATAGTGATCTTGCTCTCCTGCCTAGAAGAATTCCGATTATCTCTACGTCTGGTCATCGTATTGCGCTGGATTTTGGAAGCATGCACTGACTTGATTAAAAACGAGTTAAATATGGTCAGTAAGACAAGTGGTATGAAAACAAATAAAAATACGCATAACCAATAATATATATTTCTATAGAGAATGTTCATTCCAAAATCAGAGAAATCTGGCTGCACCGTAGTTTTGTTCGTCAGGGGATCTATTACCTCTATAACTGTCCATTCAAATGGGGTTGGTAAGGTCAAGCAGCAACAAATTAGAGCGACAATAATAACTACCTTTTTGGCTCGTGATTCAGTACAGTACACTTTCCCCTTGATTGGGTGACACACGGCGATGTACCTTTCTATTGTGAAGGTTACTGTAAGCCACACAGAAGTATTGCTACAAGCATCGGTCAACAATAAAGCATAGGGCCACAGTCGCCAATAGTTGATATGCTGGGGATCCGTCAAGCCTGGGTAGTGAGCAATAGACAGAATAAATATACATATTAAGTACAACATGTCGAAAACAGCTAATGCGGCCAAGTAATTATTAGTGGACGAGCGCATTTGCCGACGAGTCATAATTATGATAGTCACGAGGTTCCCAACAACACCGACAAAAGAGATGATAGGTACTAGCACTCGCTGGATCCAAAACCGACTGAGGTCTCGAAATCGCAAGTACATAGATTCAGAGTCTCCCATTTTAGTTTCAGTTTCGTTCTCAAACAACAAAACTGTTTCTTCGGTCGGCCACAAGAAAAACCCACAATCTCCAGGAGATGTGAATGACAAATCTGATGCAGTGGTCGTAAAGTTACAGTGCAAAGTATCATATGCATCATATAGCACTCCAGGTCCAGCCATCTTGAAAGTGTGTAACGAAGACAAGAATTTTATAAATCGAAAGTTAATCTAGGTCTGGGTTTCTTGCATCAAGTAAAATGAACCTAGAACGAAAGACAAAAATAAGAATATATAAAACACATAAAATATATATGATTTATATATTCATAAAAATAAGGTATAAATAAAAAATAAAATACAAATCAACTGGCAATTTATTTTATGTAATTTCTAACTAAAAACGATTATGCATTGTTGAGAGTTTGGATCATTTTTACTGAGAAGGCCTGATAGATTGAATTACTGGATGTCCATAGAAGCAATTACATAAACGCTAACTTGAATAACCTTCTAGGATATAACCCTCAAAATACGGAGGGCAACTAGTGTATTCGTTTTTGTTTTGTTTTTCAAATAAAAGGCTTTTTTTATCTCATTCCATGCTACCTAGACTGCACACTGACAAACGTGCTGGATGGGACTCCAGAATTGAAGAAAGGAGATATGGTACTATGGCCGGTGCTGAATCCTCTAGTGTGTAAATCAATAAATTTCATATTATAGCTAATGTTACTTGATGTTACCGATGCCACTCTAATAATTATTTATGATTGTAAGAGTTAATCAAAATTTTCTAAACTGGCCAGACTTCGTGGAGCTTTATTAATATAACAGCCGAAAGCATGAATAAGAACAAGTATCTCACGCTGACCATCTAATCAACTACGAATTCTTATCCTATAAATCATGATATTATCATCACTTTCATCAGTTCAGTTCGATTGATTAGTTATCTTGGAATTAGAATAATGCTTTTTTATTTAATTTGTTCTTGTTGTTTTTGTAAAATATTGTTAATTCTTTCATTCATTATACTCAGTGATTTTGTTGTTATTGTTTCTGTTAAGCACATAGCTACACAAAGCAATATCTGTGCTATATGAACTAGATCATTGGTATTTTAAGTTCTCGATCTTATCGCTGAACCACAGGGGTTGGGGGGGGGGTAGTGATTTTGTGTATTTCTCACTTTTTGTTAGCTAATATATTTAGTTGTGTCAGTATCTAAATGATTAATAAAAATTAAAAATACAATGCTGGTTCTTGAAATTAATTCAGGGATTCTTATAGTTTTAGTTCCATATAAAACATGCTAAAAGATAAAATATTCATCTTACGTGTCTTCCATTATAACATATCAGAAAATCTTAAGAAAAAGTTTAATTTGTAATGTTTCCTTATATCATCTAAGCTTTAATCATCTGTTTGTTTGTTGGTAATTAAGCACAAAGCTACACAATGGGCTATCTGTGCTCTGCCCACCAGGGGTATCGAAACCCGGATTCTAGCGTTGTAAGTCCGCAGACATACCGCTTTGCCACTGGGGGTGGGAAGGCTTAATCATCTGTAACATTTTTGAAGAGTATTTTATCAATAAAGTTGTTGAATAATTATTGCATCCTTAAGACAAACATTAAAACTTTCTTAAAGCATATCTGAAGACAAACTCGTAATTTTATCATTTATAAGTCTTTAGGAAAAATAATTATGTTCAATTTCGAAGGGAAATCGTATTAACTTAGCTGCTCCCCAATGGCACAGCCGTATGTCCCCGAACTTATAACGCTAGAAACCGGTGGGCAGATACCCGTGGTGGGCAGAGCACAGAAAGCGCTTTTTGTAGCTTTGTGCTTAAAAACAAACAAACAATTAATTTAGCTTTTGTGAATATTTAGTACTTTTTTGATAAAATTGATAAAATTCATTCCAAATGAGTGTTCTATTGATGAGTAAAATATTCCATCGACAAGTAAGTAAAATCAGATTGTAAAAAGTTTAAAATAGAGTGACAAAGAATTTTCCTATATGTTTTGCTTTAAATAAAAATAAGATATTTTTAACCAAATACATTTTCGTTTATGTTTGAATTCACGTGTGAAAGTATTTCAGATGCTGACCAATATAAAGGAATGTTGTATGATCACAGTAAAGATATGTCATCACACGTTTATCTTACACTTTAGAGCGAACATTTCAGATTCTATTCTGCTTCAGAGGTACAAATTTACAACTCGACAATATATTGATGTGCAATGGATCAAGTTGTGCAACCGTCCATGGGAACAATCAGACCAGGATTAATATTCGTGAATTGACAAGAAAGATGTCAATGCATCACAAGTATATCTAGTGGGCACGAAGACTGTATAAATGACGAAAACGAGAAACGTACTTTCACTGAGTAATTGTATGTGACTCTTTCAGACAAGTTTGAATTTCAAATTAGCTGTATTGTAACTAGAAATACATTGTCAATTAAATTGATTTACTAAGTGTACTTCATCGAATGAATAAACAGTTCTAAAACATGTTGTAATTTTACTCTTTTTTTTATTCTTCCTAGTATACAAAAACACCGGAATATTTGAAACAATACACCTATATTAATGTCACAGTTGTACTTTAATGGTCGCAAAACACTCAAAATATGTAATGTCTTTTTGACATAAATGGGCTTATAAAAATTCTTTCATAACATTGCTTTTAGATACAGAGGTAATCTTTAAAATTAAGTTCTGCATGAAATGTAATAGACAAAAACACCGTTAATTTCTATGAATTACTAAGTTATTGGCAGCAGTTGATCTTACCCAAACTCTGCCATTATAATTTTATTATGAAACCCACTATATTGCTTTATGGTGATATTTACTGCTTTCGTAATCTCATGTTGAAAATATTTCATCTATCAGTTTATTTTATTTCTCTACTCCATAAAAACTTTTTCTATACTGGGAATCTTGGAGATTTTCTAGCTTTATGTTGATTTGGAGAATCGGTCAAGATCTCTGTTGAACAAAGACATTGTGTGACAGCCAAGAATCCCGATTCACTGAGATTAAAGCATCTAAGCTCTGTGTGTGTGTGTTTCTTTTGTTGCATTACGTAGAATTACATCATTGTTTTACTAAATGACATAGTCATGTTTCTTGATGAATTATTTATCACAGGAAGTTTTTGTTTCTCAGTAATCTTTTGACAGATAGATTTTTTTTTTGTAATTGTACAAATTTCTAGAATGTACTTGTAAGTTTTCGATTCCCTTAACAGTATCCCTTATATTATATAGATAAAACACAAAGAAAATTAGTCGAGTAAGGCATATACGAACACGTGCAATAAATGCACAATAGCTTTGTTTGGTTTTTTGTTAAGCACAAGCGCAATGGGTTATGTGTGCAGTGTCTACCACGGGTATCAATACACTGTTTTTAGCGTTCTGAGCCCTCAGATTTACAGCAGAGAAAATGAGGTCATATGCAGTAGATGGTAATATTTAAAAAAAAGATTTAACCTTCTTTAGGTTTGAAAAATATGTGTTTCTTTAACGTGGCGGCCCGGCATGGCCAGGTGGATAAGGCACTCGACTCGCAATCTGAGGGTC